CACAGCAGGAGGTGAGCAGCGAGCTAATCCAGCGCCCCATCAATTGCATCATCACCTTGCATCACCGCCTGAGCTCTGCCCCACCCCCTCCTGTGGAAAACTCACTCGTCTTCCGTGAAACTGGTCCCTAGTGCCAAAAAGGTTGGGGACCACTGCTGTAGACTTTATCCCCTTTATTCTGAAGACAGTATATCAAATAGCATATTTGTCCTCTAGATGTGTCCTTTTGTGAGTAGTTGACTGTCCTAGATCATTCTCAGTTGGTATATAACATAATAATAACAGCATAAACACTTAGAACAGCACTCTGTGTCAGGCATTAAATATTATAGACTTATTAACTCATTTACCTATGACAACTCAGTGAAGTAAGTAACTATTTTTATCCTTACTTTTACACTTGAGCAGATTAAGATACAAAGAGGCTAAGTTACTTCAGAAGATCACATAGGTGGTGGAACTAGAAATCCAGTCTAGACTGTCTGGCTTCACAAGTTATCAACCCAGGTTATGCTACATACTATCTCCTGAAGGTCTCTCAATACCCTAGGGAAATAAGCAACAAACAAACAAAAAACGCAGGCAGATGGTGAGATTATACTGGCAATAGACTGGGAGAGGAGCATTGAAAAGAAGTTGTGACCTGACCCAGAAGGGGATGTTACCTGCAAGAAGACAAACAGATAAGGACATCCCTGTATCTCACATACGGGATCTCTGATGATTGAAGTTTTTTGGAAATGATCTTACACGTAAACCAGGGAAGTCACGTAAACCAGGGAAGTCATCGCTGTTTTTGGTTTCATCGTAATCTAGAAACAGTAGTAATGTAGTTGAACATATTCATATTCTTAGCCTTCTTTGGACTAAAATTTTACTTTATTTTCATACATAGTTTCAGAATTTACAGAATGCTCTTATCTCATTCCACTCTCAACAGCAACCTTGGAATACACTGTTAATCTTTTCATAACAAAGGCTCAAAGGAACTTTAGTAACTAACTTGCTCAAGGTTTACACTGGTTTCTAAGTGGCAGAGCTGGCTGTATCTGCCCCGCCTGTATCTTTAAACCTGCTATGCCCAGAGTATTTCTGATGTAATTTTAAATTTGCTTCTCCATGTGCAGAGATAATACTGCCTTTATATATATTTTCCGTTCACAGATAAGGGGTCTTATAGATATTAATGATCTTTGTCTCCGTATCTTTGCCTCCCGGAGGGGGAGAGATCGCGGTAGAGAGGCTGCTAGGCGGTGGCCTCCAGAAGGCTGGGCGGGAGGTGCAGAAGCGCGGATACGCAGTCGGGGCGCTGCGCCCCCAGGCCCGGGGAGCTCGCGTCAGGGTTCAAAGTGCGGACGAGTGGGGCCTGAGGAGGGAATGTGAGGGCGAGGAGGGCGTACAACGGAAGGGACTAATCTCGCGGTTTCGAGGTGGGAGCCAACCTCGCCCCCCCCGCCCGTTTTCCTTTCCCAGTGAAGACGGTTTGGGCGGGTGGGGAAGCGCGTCCTCGGAGCGCTCTCGCGCTCCCCTTTCCCTCCCAGCGCGCGCTCTCCCACCTCCCTTCCGCCCGAGGCCTCCAACGGCGGCGAGCGCGGACTGGGAGCTGGGAGGGCGGGTCTCAACGCAGGTGTTAGACCCGTCGGCCGCGTTCGGTGGGCTGGCCCGGCCCCTCGCTCGGTCTGCCGCCGCCCCCCCCGACCCGCTGCGCCGGGAGGGCGGAGCCGGGGCGCGCGCTGGTCCTCTGCACGCGGGCTGGCGGCGCGCGGCGCCTCGGTCTGGGGGAGCGCGGGGCGGTCTCCGCCGGCGTCGCGCGCGCTGTGTGTGAGCGGGGTCGCGCGCGCGCGCGACAAGCGAGTGAGGGAACGAGGAGCGGCCGGGTGTGAGTGTGGGAGTGTGTGTGCGGGTGTGTGTGGGAGTGCGGGTGAGGGGGAAGCCGGCCGACCGCAAGGCTGTGAGAAAGTGGGCGAGTGGGCGAGGACGCCCGGCCTGGCCGCCGGAGCCGCGGTCGGCGGAGAGGAAAGGCGGCTCCCGGCATCCCGACCCCCTCCCCCTCCGACTTCCAGCCGGCCTGGCGGCGCGCGCTTCCTCGGAGGCCCCAGCCAGGCCCCGCCGGCCGAGAGCGAGGGAGGAGCCGCCCGAGCCAGGTGAGCGGTACGGTCGCTTCCCTCCCCGGGTGTAGGGGCGTGAACGGCGGCGCGCCCTCCCGAGTGGGCGAGTTTGGCGGAATGGACTCCGCGACGAGCGGGAGCCCGCCCCGGGAGGGAGCGGGGCCGAGCGCGCCTGGGGCCCGGGGCTTGCGAAGGCCGGTGGTCGCTCGGTGCCGGAGTCGGTGGCGAGCGGGGCAGAACCTGGCCCTCGCGTTGGGGGGAGGGGCTTGCTGGCGCCGAGTGCGTGAGGCTGAGGGAGGCGGCGGCCGCGGCGTGAAAGGAGTATGGTCGCCCCTGTCGGTGAGGGGGTGTGGTAACCCTGGGAATGCGTGTTGGAGTGGAACCTGCGGGTTGCTAACGTGCCCTCACGAGTGTGGTAGTCTCACTGCCCCTGCTTCCCTGCGACAAATTCCGCGGCGTGACCGAGGGAGGACGATAATGTGCTGCTCCTCCTGCAGTTACTGTTTTCAGTTCTGTGTTTCCTTATGCGCAATTTTAGAGTGTGACAGTCGTTCCCCCTTGGCCTTTGACAGCCCTGTAAGAAGGAGGTGACCAAATAATTGCTTCCTAGTTTGGATTTTAAAAATTTGCTCATAATGTATATATAATCCTCCCCCCAAAAAACTCACACAGGGGATAATAACTTAAGTCTTACCGTGTTAATTTATCCTCATCTCTAGTCGCAGATTTGTAATTCCAGCATTTCGTCCTATTTGTGTTTATGGGTAGGGATGGGTGTGTGTTTTTATGTTACTTTTTTTCTTCTTAGTTTTCAGCACTCTATTGGACACTGAGGAGTGTTTATCCTATGAGTGGGGTTATTGTAGTAACAGTGCTGAATGTAACTTCTTTGTAAACCTTTCAGTCTGTTACTTTGCTGTTAGTAATAGATATTGTTCCCACATTTGTGGAGTTGGGTTAAATTCTAAATCGGTATAGAAAGTTTATGGGCAGCTTAATATGGAACATTTTTCTTTTTGTGGGCTTGTTATGTTTATGGGGCATTCTTAATTATGAACTATAATTCTTAAAATTGAAGTGTTATTTAATTTTCTTTCACAATATTGCGTAGCTTAAAGGTAATTTCTTCTGTTTATTTTTTAAAATGGTTCCTTAAAAGCAATCGTCAGAAAATTTTTAAGATATTCGTTTGGAAGAAAACACTCCGAAATTCCAGTCATGGAGATTCAACACTTATTATAGTATGTAAAACTCTAATTATAAAAATTGTCACAGTTAAACTTCTTTTCTGATGGTTACTGTGTGTTATTTGGTTGGTATGTCAAAGAGGAGGAGACTTATTTTTGAGGTACTCAATCTTATGTTTATTCCTTTCTGTCTTAGCGCTGTTAATTTTCTTCTTTCATGTCATTGATTTAGTTGTTAGTTTGGCAACATGGCTGTTGATGTTTTTTTATCTTTCTCTGTCTCCTTCTCTTGTCTTCTCTTACCCCTACCAGGTGCTGGAGACTCCTTGTCGGGGAGGGGGGCAGTCTGTGATTCTGAGAAAAGAGCCAAGAAGGGGAACAGCAAATTCAGTCCCATGCAATTCTCCACTCAGTCAAGAGCCACTTTTCTCTTCCTGCCTTTCCCCAACAGGGGGTAAGGAGTTGAGTATATAACCTTTAGCCCATTGGCTACCAGCTAAAATTCCACTTAGTTTTTAGTGGATAGCTTTTTTATTCCCATGTTTCCTTAGAGTCCCTATTGAATATACTCAAGCCAGTAGTAGCGTGAGTACTAGGAGTGGAGGGGAGAGTGACAACAAGAAATCATCCCCTATTTTCCCTTTTCTCATTCAGTCCCCTCTTCCTCTCCAGAGGGAAATTACCAGCAAAATCTTATAAATCTTGTACCCCTTCTCAGCCATATTGCAAAGAAACACACTAAAGTGGACATTCATATTTTCTCTGACCAATGAACACAAACTAAATCTCAGGCACTGGTTTGTTGGGACACATGGAGAAACATTTTTTTTTAAATATCTCCCAGTTCCCCCTTTCCCCAATATGTATCCACCTAGGATTTGTTGCTGGGGTAAGTCACTACTAGGTTCATTACTCAAAGCTCCCCTCTCCGAGCTGAGTGATCAGTCATGAACACTAGTGGGGCTGAGGCAAGGAGATAGAGCAGTGCAAGTTGTTCCATGCTTTGGGAAGCAGGAGTAGCTTTTATCATCTTCCTCTGGGGAGCAGGCATAGAGACTTAAACTGAGTGAAAATGGGTGGAGGAAGAACTTCTATACCCAGGAGTAACATGTGAAGAGTGAGAGAAAACCAAACATAGAGTAAGGAGGGTGAGTTTTATTGTATGTTGCTTGCTGATAACTGTTTTGGGGGCACTTTAGAGATAAGAATTCATAGAGAGACTTTCTTTTATGGCAGAGTAGTTTACTAAGAGTATTCTACAAGTAGGATTCCATCATAAGCATATGAGAAAAGAACCTTTAAAAATTGTAATGGTTATGCTATTTTAAAATCTGAGGGAGGAAGAGACTGTGATAGGAACAATGAAAAAAGTATTTTTTAAATGTTAGCTGCGCTGATTTGTGCAGTTGTTTGAAGAGAAGTTGAGTAGGGAGATTAGGTACCAATGTTGGGGAGCTTATCTTATTTGGAAAATTTTCCTACTGGTCATATTTAGGATTGTTAATAATATAACCTCCAAAAATGTCTGTACCTAATATTTTAAATTCATGTGCTATATGTAACGGTGTACATGTTAACGTTTGCAAAAAAGGATTGGCTTTCTGGCTTCATGGTAACTAGTGCCATGGTGTTATTTTTAATGTTTTCTTTTCCAGTGTTTTTTCCTCTAAAAATTGGCTTAGAGGACAAAAGCCACAGAGCTAGCCAGCTCTACTCCCTTAGAGGCTAGTCTGCATGGAACCCATCTGTTTTTTTCCTGTTGCTGAAATTATATTTTTGTTTTTTCTTCTAACTTTAACTGTTAACAAAACTAATTATTTCAGGATCAATTGTATGATGAGGGAAACCAGCATTATGCTTTTTTTTTTTAAAAGAAGTTGAAAAAATTACGAATTTTTGATAGCTGCATTTAGATCT